TTATAAAGTTGTCCCAATAATCACCTAATTTATGCAAGTATTTCGGACGAAGTTTCAAATATCGAATTTCAACCACTAAATCCCTACAATATAAAAAGAGACAACTTTGTTGCACTGTTTCTAAGCCATTTGGCCACCCAAGCCGAGCCGTTTCAAGTCGAGCCATAGAAGCTGAGCCGTATAAGCCGAGTCAGAGGAGATTTTTTAATCGATTTGCTTTTTCTGCCTTTTGCTTTCTCCTCTCTTATCAGACACGCTTTCAGTTTTCCATCTGACACACGCAACTCTTTCACGCAACATTTCTCCCTCAGCCTTTCCAAACTCTTTCTTCTTCGTAAAATGGAAAACCCAAAGCGACGTCACCACCAGCGCCCTAATTGCTCTCGCCTTCTCTCTCTCGACCCGAATTACTTTTCCTCTCTTCATCTTCCCTGCGAGGCTGCGCCGTTTCCTCAACTCCACTGCTCCGCCTCCGGCCGTCCACGCCTCCACTGCTCCGCCTCCGTCCGTCCACGCCTCCACCTTCAGGCTTCAGTTCAGCCCGTGATTATTGAGTACGTATTAATATTTATTGTACTTCTTCAGTTCTTCTCCTCGAATCTCGATTATTGATTAACCATTGAATTTGATCGAATCAATTGAATCAGATTTTTTTCACTTTTTTGATTTTCATATGGGTATCGTGTTTTGTTGGATTCTTGATTTCGAATATGTACCTGTCAATTTTGTAACTCATTTTGACTGGATTTAGCTAGGAAAACCTTATGTGGTACTTGTTTTCTGTAAGGCAGCTGCACTTTTAGATTTTATTTGATGTGGGCAGGAAAAGCGACTAAGGGTGAATATGAGACTGAAGAAACTACAGGAGAAAGTCAAAGAGCACCGAGAAAAAGTGGGAGAGAAGGTAAAGTTTCTTCTTAAGGAACATTTGCTTATGCTTTAAATGATAGTTTCTTGAGTCAAGCAAACCTTAGGTTGCATAGAGGCTGACGGCATGGCTGTGGTTTCTTAAATCTCCTCTGTTTTATTTGGTGGTCGATATATGGAAGACATTTGTGAATTAATGTTTCTGTCTTTGTTTTTGAAAAAACTTGGAATAATGTTATTTTAGTGATATGATTTCAGGAAGTGGGATTTTTTTCATGCCAAGCAATTTATTTTCTTGCATCTGTGTAGAATTTTCAATTTCTTTGTAATTTGTATATTAATGGGATAGATGTATGCTTGTTGAAGGTCCTGTGGTTGTGTACAGAATCGGTTATGTGCACACTGCATATCAATGTTCTTATATTTCAGTGCAAGGCTACTTATTTTACCAGTTCATCTGTTAACCTATAGTGACAAAAAAATAAATAAATAAATAATTGCTTCTTTTCCTTTTGTGATGATGGATTGTTAGCTAAGTAGTGAAATTTGCAGGGTATCTATGACATGTTTACAGAAAGAAGTACAAGGTTTGGTTTCATTACAATGTGTACGGCAGATGAAGCTACAAGTGTTGCTCAATTCAATGGATATGTAAGTTTCTAGCATTTATGCTACTTAAGGGTACAATAATACATAGGGGAAAGAAAAAGCCAAATCCAATCAGAACACTCACGCAAAGAATCTTGCTCATCCTCGGAGACCATTTCTCAAGGAATTCTCTAGCCTCATTGACAGCTGCATCCAATTCTCTAGCCTCATTGTTAATGTTCTTTTGATGTGGGCTTTTTCTATTTGAGGTCTTTATTGATTGAAGATGGCAAATTTTTTATGCGATTTATCCCAATAAGGAGACGTAAAATTTGTTTTCTCTTTGGTGTGATTTTTAATGTTGGGATTCATTGTTTTTGTGTCATGCGAAGATGAAGATGAATTGAGAAAGCAGAGTTCATGTTCAATGCAGTTGACTCATAAGACTGATCAGTACATTGCATTCAAGGTAATTTTCTTATTTTATTGCAGATTATGGTTAATAGGTTGGACGCTCTGTTATGCATGTGATGATAATTTTATCGTTCTTTTGATTAATGGATTTTTAATTGAAAAAGGTCAAAACAACCAGCCCCAAGAGGTACTGTGTTCAACCCAATGCTGGTGTTGTCTTGCCCAAATCTGTATGCAATGTCACCGGTATTGATTTAATGATTTTCCGATTTTCATGTGTTTAGTATAGGACTGAATTACTCACATTTGTGTTTTATATATTTCGAGATCAATAGTTACAATGCAAGCACACAAAGAGGTGCCCGCTGATATGCAGTGCAAGGACAAGTTTCTAATCCAGGGTGTTGTTGCTCTCAGGGGCACAACAAACAAGGATTTAACCGCGGAAATGGTGGGGTTTAGTTTTTCATAAAAAATGATTTATAAAGCTTGCTTTAACATGGTAGTTTGCTTGGAATTAATTGTTCAGTTAATCTTTTAAGTAGTTTCACAGGACGGAGGACAAGATTGTCAATGAGGTTAAATTGAGGGTTGTCTACATTCCTGCTAATCCGCCCTCCCCTGTGCTCGAAGGCCGAAGGAGATGAAGAAGGTTCTCCAAGAACATCTTCAGTTGAGGATGATAATAGAACATCTTCATTACCTGAGGCTGTAAGTTCTTATTGCATTCCTTCTCCCATCTGCTCAACTTTGGGCACAAATGTTTCCCTGTCTACAAATTTATTATGTAACAAGAT